TATATATATATATCTTATCTCAAGTCGTCTTTCTGACTTCCTCCTTCTTCAGTCTCTGGTTCAGTCAAAGAAAAAGAAAAGAAAATCTGGTGTAAACAAGCTGGAGAAAATCCTCCAGGAGCTCCTGGAGTCTCACGGTGAAAGATGGACAGAGGAGCTGAAGATGGATCTTCCTCGTGGCTTCCAGAGGCATGGAGACCTCATCCTACTGGGGGACAACTGTTTCACCCTGCCACTGTGGAAGAAAATAGGTACTTGTGCTTTAGAACAAACTGTGCTACATATTCAATTAGGACATTAATTGATTTTTTTTAAATTAATAAATTAGACGATCAGTTGTGGAGAGCAGTGGCCGAAGGACTCGGAGCAAAGCGGCTGGCAAAGACGAGCCGAATATCCAGGGATGGATTCAGGTCTCCTGTGGTGACGATGCTGCTGGGGGAGAACGGCTGGGTCCAACACGTGGACAATGGCATCAGGTAACTGTGAWGATCTGCTTGATTTGCTTCATTTTTGCTTGTATTTATGATTTCAATAAACTCTTCTTCTGTTTCAGCTATGAATTTGATGTTACCAAGAGTATGTTCTCAGCTGGAAACATTACAGAGAAGCTGCGGGTGGCTGGGTTTGACTGCAGAGGAGAGACCGTGGTGGATTTATACGCAGGTAAAACTATATAAATATATAAATACAGTGGTGAGCATGGGTCCAATAATTAGGTAACTGCTAATAAAACACATTTTTCATTTAATGAATTAGCTTTTTCACCAACAAACATCAACAGGTTCTCACCAATCTTCAGCTCGAAGGAAACAGTGGTTAGTGATTAGCTGTTAGCGTTAGCTTCCACTAATTTTTACTTGTTTAGTGTTCGTGAAGCCATAGTTTTAGTTAGCGAATCATGAGTTAGCAAAGCTAATTTTTTGCTTAGCTGTGCCCACCTCTGTATAACTATAACAACAACATATACTATTATGCATTATAAACTTCTTTCACATTAGAGAAACTACTGAATCATTGTGAATAATAAACAGAAATACAGCGTTCTTTAACAAAACACAGCCTCTACTTTGATTTTTACTATAACTGCTAACGAAAACATAGCCTAAGAAACGTTGGTTACGTATTGTAACCCCAGATTCTATGAGTGTAAGCGCAGCCCTSTAAGGCTATCGCAGATGGGTACCCCCACGCGCGCTCGCGCATTCTGAAGAACCAATAGTCCACGCCCACTTACTGTGGGCCCCACCTCGGTCCGTGTAAAAGGGGAGGACGGACCTGAGTTCAGCTCCCAATAGCTTACTTTTTCTTCAGCTAAGGAAGCCGGTGAGGCCCCGATCCTTAGAGGGCTGCGCTTACACTCATGGAATCTGGGGTTACAATATGTAACCAACGTTCTATTTCGTGTAAGCTCCGCCCTCTAAGGCTATCGCAGATGGGTATTAGAGGCGGAGCCTGATGTAGTCTATGCCTCACCGGCTTGACATACTTGTGAAGCTCCCGCCCAAAACACCCCTTGTGATGTTGCATGTCGAATGCCGAAGCTGAAGAAAAAAACAGGAGCTGAACTCAGGTCCGTCCTCCCCTTTTATACAGACCGAGGTGGGGCCCACAGTAAGTGGGCGTGGACTATTGTTTCTTCAGAATGCGCGMGCGCGCGTGGGGGTACCCATCTGCGATAGCCTTAGAGGGCGGAGCTTACACGAAATAGAACCTCAGTCTAATGTTTTCAGGATGTTAAGTAGATGTCACTTAATGGCGGTTGGCAATAAACTGAGCTGAAGGTGTGCATTACCGCCACCTACTGGTATGGAGTGTGGTTCAAGATGATTTCACTAATATTTATATCCTGCTACTATTATTGTATTTCTTTTTACATTTTCAAAGCCATCTATTCAAAGAAAAGAAAAAAAGAAAAAATAAACAAACAAGTAAATAATACAAAAAATGTGTTAAATGTTAAACCTTAATAAGAAGCTTTTCTCAGTGTTAAAAGGGGCGGTGACAAACAAAATTTAAAGCAACATGATCCACTTTTATTAGTCAGTTCAGCAGGAAGTGATCTGTTTGTACGTTTTTGCTGTTGCAAAGTTGAAAGTTCAGCTGTAGTAAATGAATAAATCAATTAGGGAAATTAGTATTTAGTAACTCCCACATCTGTATCTGGTCTCAGGCATTGGATACTTCACCCTCCCGTATCTGGTCCACGCCCAGGCTGCTCATGTTCACGCCTGTGAGTGGAACCCCGCCGCCGTCGCAGCTTTACAGAGAAACCTCGAGGCCAACGGCGTGTCGGATCGCTGCACCGTCCATCCAGGAGACAATCGTCAAGTAAAGTGAAATTAACATCAAATATTTATTCCGTTTTGTTTTGCCTTTTTTTATTTTTTATTTTTATTATTTCTTTCAGATGACATTTGTCTCTCAGCAGCAGATCTATTCACAGCTCAGCTCAGTCACTCACTGCTGGTGNATCTATTCACAGCTCAGCTCAGTCACTCACTGCTGGTGAAAGAAAACATTCTGGATATGTTTTTATTAAATATATTATATTTCAATTTTAAATGTTGCTTTAATAGAATAAATAATTCAGATGTTTAATTGTGAATTTTGCGATTTTTTTTTCAGCTAATTAGCTTTTTCTGCAATTTTTTTCCCTTTTGACGTTTGAAGACGTTTGAAGAGAATCTGCTCTGTAATATTTGGAGAAAACAGTTTCCGATGTTTCCGTATTTGGATTAAAATATATATTTTTCCCCCTCCTCCTCCAGCTCCAGCTGGTTGGTATTGCGGACCGGGTGAACTTAGGTCTCATCCCGACCTCTGAGGACGGCTGGCCCGTCGCCTGCCGTCTGCTGAAGAGAACGACCGGCGGCGTTTTACACGTTCACCACAACGTCACCTCGCCGCCACGGAGCCGCGCTGCTGACGACGCGGCTCGGACAGTTCCCGCCAAGGAGGCTGACAGAGAGGTGTGGCAGACCTGGGCTGGCGGCACGGCATGCCGCATCGCTTCGCTTTTAAGGGACCTCACCGGTGCATTGTGGGTAACGAACATCCAGCACGTAGAACACGTGAAGTCATACGCGCCTCGTGTCCACCACGTTGTGCTGGACCTGGAGTGCAGACCGTCGTGAGCAGCTGAAACCAGAACGATGATGATGATGATGRTGRTGATGCCTAGCCACAGGCTAACCGTGTTAGCTGCTGCTCRCAGCACAAAGGATTGATGTTTTAATCCTCACTGGTGTTTGACAACTAGATCTCTGTTTGTCTCCCTGGTTCTGACTCTTCTGTTTCAGTGGAACAAGTTCACATCTACAAGAAGTTTATTTTACTTTACAAATATTCAACCAAGTTCAGACAGAAATGTTGAACTGCTTCCATACAGGGGAGTCTGAACCGTTTGATAAGAGCAGAAATAATGTGAATCTCATGACGTGACCTTCATGATCMTCAGGTCTCAGCTTGGTTCAGTACATTTAGATTTGTGCCCAAATAAGGGAATTTCTTCTTGATCAAAGGTAAATTTGCTACACAGAAGTAACGGAGCGTTTCCAGCTGCTTGTGATGCTCCGTGAAGTTCTTTTTACTGCCTTTTTTATTGGTGTATATCTTACAGATTACAGATTTTTTCTGAATTCCTGAACACCAAGTAATTACAGTAAAAATAAATCCAGTTCACTTTTTTATCAGATGTTTTATGGGGTTTTGTCAAAACTGTCCTCAGTCTTTAGATGCCAGTGTTCAAACTTATCCAAATAATATTTCCTGAAACAATACAATTCTTATTTGCTTTTTTCCATTAAGTGTATTGTTTTGTAACTAATGTTTGACACCTGATACCTGATGATATTTATTTTTCCTCTTTAATTCATCAGGAGGAAAATCTAATTGAATTTAACAGGAATCACTTCTGGTTTTCTCAGCTGGTTAATTTAGATAAATGGTAAATATTCAAACAAACAGAAGCTGTTTAATAAAGAAATGTTAACTATACAGAGTAAATAGTCTTAAAACACCWATTTAAAGGATTAACTCATTTAATCCATTAATGTTTATATTCTCAGCGTTTGAGTTGTTATTTTACTACGTGAAAAATTAAAGGGATTAGAGAGTAAATATTTTATTTTTATAAGCTTTAACATTAAATTGACATAAAAACTACAGCTGCCTCTGTAGGTCAGTAAAGAAGCAGTTCCTGAACATTCATCAAYGTGTCTAATGTCATCCATGAAATATGGACTCAGGATTTATTGCAGTAAAAACAAACATCCTTCAGATCTATTTTAGAAGCAGCACTCCTTCAGTTCTCTGTGATACCAGGAAGATTTAATAAGTAAAAACAAAATAAATAAAAGTAATAATAAGTCTAATTGTACTTCTGTGTTTAGCAATAAACTTTAAGGGGTTGAAGTAAAGGAAACTGTTTTGTGGAGGAAGAGAGGGAAGCTAATTATTAGTGGAAACATCTCARTGGGTTTAAGTTTCCACATCCAGCTCTTTGGTGGTAAATGGAGCAAAAGAAAATCCTTGTCATGGAAAAGCAGGAGTGGTATGGAAGCCCATCTCTGCCACGTTCATAAAAATAAAAACCTCTAACGTGTAATTATGAAACACTATTTCTAAATTATTATAGAACTGTTTGAGTCCTGCCCAAACCAGCTGAGTACTTCTGACTCAGCACAGAAAACCTGATTGGTTCAGTTTGTCGTGTCATTATTTAGAATTGGACATTAAGACCTGCAAAGTGTACGGAGCTCCAGAGGAGACATCAAGATAGTTTTATTTTGTGTTACAGTGTAAAAATGAATGATTATTGTTGTTAATTACTGTTGTTCTTGAGCAAGGCCAGCATAGGGGTGACCAGGTAAACATAAAACACTTTTTGCCCCTATTTTTCTGTGCACATTTTYACCAAAGACAACACCCATCTCCACTCGGCACACCTGACAATTTGGGTCAAAATGTAACCATTTTAAAGGGACAGTATAATGGTTTATCAAGTCCCATCTGGCAATTTTTTCTTACTTCAATAAACAAAAAATTTTCAGAGAAAACTCTAGGACAGGGCCATTCAACTTAATTGCTCCATGGGCCACAGTTACTGCAGACCAACAGCTGAGGGGCCGAACATCCAGCAATTAAAGTCATTATGTAATAAAACCAAGTATTACAAAGACCTGTTGCCTTTGAAATAGTTTATTTTGCTGCATTTAATCATGAATACAACATAAAGAACCMTATATAATAAAAGCAATGATAATAAAACAACTAACACATGCCTCTTATTTACCACAAATATTTCAACATCTCTGACTTGCCAAAATTTTAAGCCTATTTTATGTTTACTTTCATAGTTTTATCTTCAACTGCTTGTAGTTTTAACTGTCTTGGGTATTCGTAGAAATGTTTTTTTTAACAGCTTCTAGCCAAGATTCTGTAGACACCACACATTTTTGTTTAACTCAAAGAACTTATAATAACTAAAGTAGAAAACTGGGGGTTTGGGCTTAAGAGATGAATGAACCAATTGGCGGGCCGCATTCTGGTCACTCGCAGGCCGGATGTGGCCCGCTGGCCGCCAGTTGAATAGCCCTGCTCTAGGGTAAACAGTGCCTAACTTGTGGCGACACATCCTGTTTTCATAACCAGGTACTTCAAAATAAAATTATCTTTCAGTACATTTAATAGAAAACAGTAATTTTGAAAATGTAAAAATTTTGAATGTCCCCGCTGCGGGACAATAAAGTTATATTTCTATTCTATTTCTAAAGTATTGTGTGAGAATGCAAAATAAAAAACGTCCCCCAGCGTCCCCTCATGGGCTCCATACATGTGAACATATCAGTTTTAGTGCAATTTGTTTTATTTTATTCTTCAGAGTGGCAGAGAGGGTCTTCCATACAGGCGCTTCTGCAAACTTTCCTTCAGCAACAGGTGTTGCGCCAAAGTAAATATCCTTGAAAGGATGCGCCCCCGGAGCTCGGGGGCGCGCACGAAGCAGGAAACGCGGACACCTGTCGACTCTGACACGTTAAACCTCAAAACAGTAAAAACATTTTGGATGTTTGTGTGAATGATGTTAGCACAGCGTGTTGTTTTGTCGTTGAGCTTGGATTGTGCGCGCTCCCGAGCGAGCGSGCACAAACTCTTTCGGGGATAATTACTTCGGCTCCACACCTGCACCTCCTGGGAGCTGAAGGGAAGGAGAAATCACCGTCTTTAAAGGAGGGAGTGGGTCGACAGGGAGGAGAAACGAGGAGGAGGTAACGGATACTGGTCGTGGTTGACAAATACAGTCGGTGAAGTCGCTCGGAGCGTCAGTTTCTTGTCTTTTTGTTGCGTTTTTCCTGTCAGGAATATTCAGGAMCATCGGGCGGAAAACACAGCGGAGTGTCCAGCAGCAACAGGTGTGTTCATTCTTCCCAATCAGACACATTAATACAGTGTAAATGATCTATTATTTTGTCTTTTAAATTTTAGGCTWCAACTAAATTACGTCAATTACGCCGAACGTAATTTTAGGTTTTTGGACGTAGCGTCAGCGTAACTTTTGACCATTGATAACCGTTAGCTGCTAACGGTGGGCTCATTAAATCACTTAAAACGAAAGAAAACGAGTTAATGCAAACAGCTTTAACAGGAATAATCAGGTCACATGTGAATTAAAATATAGATTCTAGTCATTTTTGCTGTATTAGCCACTTTACAGTGCAGTTAGGCTTTTAAAAACCTAATTAAATCATCTTAGATCTGAACAAACACCATTTCCTGGAAGATTTTGTTCTTTTACTCAAATAGAAGTTGTCCTGCAGGTTTTTAACTTCAAGCTTGAGTTAGCTGGTATTTAAACAACGAGGAAAACGTTTGTTTTTCCTCACAGTTACTCTGTAATAGTAGTCCACCTCTCTGGTTGTTGAGTTTCATGTCAGATCTAATGTTGAGTTTAACCAGTAATAATGCTGAGGCTCCACCCGGGTTTCTGTGTCCTTTGAGGGTGGGAACCCTTCATGATGGCCCAGTCCTTGTTGTTTTTACTCTGTCAAACTGCAGAATAAACCTTCACCWGTCAGAGGCCTGCTTTGGGATTATTAAAACCTCTAGCCTCCTGTCTCTTTCCATCCATTAATCAGATTTAAGTATTTTTGTTGGAGCACTAAGTTGCTGATCTTTCATGTCATGGGAACCTGTTGGCTTYATCAAGATCTACACACAATAATTTAACAGTTTGATGCAGTCATAGTTTAATCTAGCACAAGTTAGAAATATTACTTGAGTAAAAGTCATTAAAGAATATGATTTTTTTTGTACTTAAGTATTAAAAGTAAAGGTGTTGAATTAAAATGAGCATTTAGATTTTCTGTAATGATATTTATTAGGAGGGGACCCCCAAAAAATGCAGAAATGACTATCAT